ACTGCAGCACCCCAGAAAATAAAACAAAACAATAAAAGCAAAAAAACAACAACAATAATTTACCTGTAAAGATGGAAAAAAAAAGTCCAGATTCCAGTTTTCTCAGATTCCTCCTTGATATCACTCAGTAGTGTTAAGTGAAGCAATGACTTCAGTGCTAAGGGGAAAAATGGGCCTCAAAAATTTTACACTCAGCCTGATTATTAGTCAAAGATACAGAAAATAGACAGTTTGGTTATCAGTCACATTGTTCTAGTGAAGCTTCCTGAAGAATATATTGCAGAACAAAGTTCAGGCGTTGGAAGTAGTTGGAAAACTTTAGCCGATGTACTGGGAAAGGTAATTGAGTCAATTTAATTGTGGGGCTCAGGTTAAAATAAATGCATGGCTGCTGGTTATAGACCAAATATAAAAATACTCCAAAACTCCAACAACATAGAAATGATATATGGTGTAAGAAAATATAATATTTTGATTGTCTCATCTTTTTTAGATGAGGGAAAGGTGGTATCATTTAAAGATGATAAATAAAATAAGGATCTAGATATTCAAAGAGTTGAAAAATAGGAAAAATAATGCAGTAAGTATAATACGGTGCTGGGGGGAAGAAGACAGAGGGAGAAGCAGAAATTAAATAATTGTGTTAATGCTCATAATGGGGAGTAAAATCTAAAGACATAGTAAATACATACATTAAATGAAGTTCCATTATAAAGGTAATAATTAGAACAAAATAGAAACCTTTTATATTTTGGAAAAATGCACACGAATGGTATAGTAGAAGGTAGAAAAGAAGAAACCACTTAAATAGCTTTATTTGTAGTGATGTAGGATGATGTTCAAGATATATTGTTAAATGGAAAGAAGTTGCAAAATAGCATGCAAGATTATATGTATATGTTTGTTCATTAATATACTTAATGTATATATTATTGTTTATCAATAGAATAGTACTTGTTTCTTTAAATTATATTCCACTAAATAATAGCTGTCTTAAGAGGTGAACTATGTAGCCCTAGTTGTTATATTATGACCTTATATCCTCAATATTAATATTTTAATATCACATGCTTAACATAAAACTATATCAAATAAAACTATAGGTGCAGCATATGTATATCTGTATGTGAGTAGCTTATAATCAGGCTAAGACTAAACTGGCAAAATTGGAGAGTACAGGATGCAAATGAATGCTCAGTTATGTTACACAAGCCCTCTGTGAAACCTTCTGAGATTATTGCAACCTTTGGTGGCTGGCCTCCCCTCCCTTTGATTTTTAACAGCAATATTTGACTGTAACATATTTGAACATTACACTATATATTTATCATTTTCTAACAGTCCAGTGTGATAGTCTTGTCTTTATAGAGGAGATGAGAATGATTGCCAAGTCCTTGGACTCCAAATCAGCTATTTAACACAATAGTCACATGAAGCAAAACAATTGGTTAGAAATTCCAGATATACACAACAACATGTAAATAATTATTATAACACCTGCCACTAGATAATGCATAAGAAACTGAGGTACAGGAGAGATGAACTACTTTGCCCCAAATCAAAAGGTAGTAAGAGATAATACTAGGATTAGGACCCAGACCGGCTGGCTGCAGGATGAATGCACATAACAGTACACTGTGTATGACCTGCTCGGCTACTTAACCTCACTGACTTCTCTTTCTGTGTTGGTGAAAGATGGAGAATAATGACGCCCTTTATAAAGTTAGCATGTCAGTTATTAAGAGAAGTACATCCATCAGCTTTGTAAGCCATGAAGCTCCATAGCAGACGTAAAATATCACTGTTGTCTGCTGTCTTCATGCTGCCATTGTTGCCACAGCATCATGTAAGCTCAGCTCATAGAGGAGCAAAGGTTTCCCTTAGATTCCTGTAGGGATAATCATTTACTGGCTTTTCAATCTCAACACACATGTGTTTGCTCTGACTGAACAATGTCCATGCCATAAAATAGCTTATGTCCACTGAGAGAGATTACCTAACAGGGCATAGTGAGGGAAGGGGCATCATGAGGTTCTGAGTTTTGTGCAAAGACCCAAGAGAGAGGAAAGGAGAAGGGAAGGATTGTGGTACTCAAAGAGTTAAGCAAACTTCTTCCAGCTTAGGAAAAAGACCTGCAGTTTTAAATTCTAATAATCTTCCCATGGGAGAAGCATCAACACGTTTTGCATTGTATTTATGCTACACAGCAACCTTTTCGCATGATTTTTAGTCCTCACTTTCCTGCATATTTTCCCACAAAGACTGTCCTTGACCAACACCAGAAATGAATTTGATTTCTCTAATGCAGCAGGTAATTGGATTTTTCTTTATTGGATGCATCCCTTTAATGACTGTCTCTGCTCCTTGCCAATTTAGCAAGTGCCCTGACATTGATCTGATGATATGACTTAAAATAAATAGGTGGAAGCTGGGGGTGAAAAGAACCAGCTGTCTGGCATCAGAAAAAAATGTATTTTGTCCTCATCTTGCCATTTTACTGAGAAATCTTTTACCCTTGAATGGCATTTTTGCAAAACATGCTGCTGTAATAATTAGTCATATAGCAACAGATTGCCTCCTTCTAGAAAATATAGTAATTATTTCCCAGAAAGTGCCCTGGAGAAAACATTGCAAGTTGAATAAAATTTACCCAATAATCATGCTGTTCCATGAAAATATCTGTTACTATGCATACTCTTTCCAGAACAAGATAAATATTGTTGAACAGAATTAATTAAATCTTTTTAAAAGCTGACAAAACATGAAATATTTATTTAAGTATTTATTTGCTTAACTTGAGGTTTTGTAAAAATAAAATCCGACACAAGATTGTTATTCAAGAAGGTGACAAAGGAGCAGCGGATAAAATTGTTGTATTTTGAAAAATAGTGATTCTTTCCTCAGGGAAGTTGTGATATAAAACTTGTTTTATGCTCAAGAATATATGGGATATAAATTTTCTATTTTTACCTTTATTCTTTTTTAGTAACAATATAACTCACTTGATTCATGGTTAATTTTTATTCTATCATCTTCCCTTCGTTTATTTTGATAAATATGATTTTTTTTAATTGAAGATACAATTCATGGGTGAGAAAATAAAGTCTTGTAATTCTAATGAGTCATGAAGAAAATAAGTTTTCTTTTAAAAATAAGTTAACAAGTGTTTTTTTTCCTTTTTGAATTCTTAATATTAGTTGCATGTACACTTATCAAAATAATTAATAGTTTTAAGAAATTGAGAGTTTAAATTAAAACCAATTATGATTGTTGAGTCTTTTCAATTGTGAAATCATATCACACAAAATTACAGTGGATTCTAAACCAGACAGAGCTGGCATAGATCTGCAGTGTTGCTCAATGAAGATCAATGAACTTGCTTTGATTCCTACCAACCAGGGGAGGCGTGGGAATTCTAGTCCTAGAAATGACGTGAGAAAGAATATAGAGAAAAATTAAGATCACATGTGCCCTAGAGACTGGGCTCTTTACTCACTGTTCTGATTGCATCCTCAGTGAGCATGTGCAGCTTTAGCATGTCAGTGAAAGTTTCCAGGAACTTTTCCAGGATGTTGTGTTGCACAAGATGGGCTTGCTTGAGAATCAATGCACCTTCTGCAGGGAGTCCAGTAGTATTGAAGGGCCCACTGGATCACCATCTCTCATCACAAATTATTAAATCTCACCCATTCCAGGTTAGGCCATTGTTGGAAGTTACATTTAAATGTAATGTTAAGGCTTTAAGGGCAAAAGAAAAAAAAATATTTTAATGGATAATGAAACTTCTTTTTTTTTTTGTGGTACAAAAATAGTTTTTATTTATTTTTTTTACTCTATTGAGTTTATTCCATTCTTTATCAAAATTCTTAACATTGATTCTGTCTTGATTTTTTGGATTTGAAGATTATTAAATAAAACCATAATTAATTAAACAATGTTCTCTTCTCTCAAATGGAAGGTATATTTTCTGGGAAAAGGAAAAAAAAACTATTTGTGTGTGTGTATGTGCACATATGTAAACATGTTTCCTTTATTAGAAGAAGGAAATTCATTTTTCATTCTCACCAGTTTTTGTAAAGCTGCTTTTTATGACATCTACATATTATTCTTTGGACATTTGCTGAAACTATTAATATGGGATGTTGACAATGGACAATTTACTTTGTTAATGCATTTTTTAAAAGCAAGCATTTATATCCTAATACATTTTTGCCATTTTTTCTTTGAGTAATATTTTAGTCTTTTATATAAAAGATCGTTAGGAAAGCATACAATGATAAATATTCGACTTCAAGGATTTCAAAGCCTAGTGGAGAGAAAAATGTGCATAAGTAAGTAAAAGAGAAGGTGGAAATTGATAGGTAACATGAAAAGGGTCAAGAACTGTAGTTGGAGGGAAAAATGAAGACATCACAATGATAACACGACTGTATATAGGCCTTTGAAGATAGGGAGAATCTGTGCAGGTGGGAGAGGTAGAACATTTTTTTGAAGAAGGAATAGAATTACTAATTACATGGAGGTGGAAACTTGCTAGGTAATTAGAATAAATGTGCCTTAAAACTGGGTCTAGGTACCATACTTCACAAATCATTGAAGAAAAAAGGGGAGAGAAGGAAAGATAATATTTTTACTGGAAATAGTTTCTGTTTAGCTAAGTTAGAAAGAATATGGTACTTTATATGTTTTGTTTCTATAGAGAGGTTATTAATATCTTAATGATGCTTTCTTTTATAAGGTAATCTTGACTGATGTTTAAAAAATAATGTCAATATTTGACATGTTGAATGACCTTAAATATGCTCATTTATTATATAAAGAATATGAACTATTAAAGTTTTTAAGTAAAGAAAGTATATTCTTCTAATTTTTATCTTTGCATATGTTCTAGTGTTAAAATACATACATATTTTATTTTCAATAAAATGTAAATTATTTACATACTTACCACTGAATGTAAATTTCTGACAGTGCTAAATAAGTTTCTTTGATTGCTTCAGGTCACTGATATGATGCTTCAGGACAAACCCTATCCTGATTGGGGGAAATCCGCAAGAGCTTTCTGGAAGAAAGGAAATGTTAGGATCATTTTATTCTGGTAAGAGATTGTTTAATTTATTGATTTATACCTTGTCTCATTCACTAAATGACTTGGATTGGATGTAGTTTTCTTTAGATATATAGAATTCTATGTGGAGAGACATTATAAATGTGTACTACATTCCATTAAAATGATTAAAACCAATCATTATAATTATTAAATGAATTTCTGCTTACAAATATTACATATACACATTTACAAGAGTTATGTTTTGATAATATAGTGATGCAAAGATTTTAGCAGAGGTAAGTAGGATTTTGACTGAGCAAAAACAAGCTGTAATTTTTATCAATGAATTATGATATTAAAAATGTCTTCAGTAAATGCTAAATTTCCAGTATATTTGACATGATATAATTTACTTTGAAGAAGTTGTACAGAAAAGGGCCCTCTTTACAAATCACATCTGGTTCATTGGCATTTCTTCTTTACTTCTAAAGTTTCCTTTAGATCCCCAGCCCAATCATTGCAATTTTAAAAACAATTTATGTCTGATAGAACTTCATTGTGCTTTTTTTAAAGTGTCATCACCATTATTTATGAGTATTTGAATAAGATTAGACAGAAAAGATAGGAATGTGGAGAGAGCAAGAGGGCACTTCCTCCTGGCTGTGTGCCACTGACCAAGCACAGGGATTCAACCTGATTATGAGAAGTGATGTACACTGACATGCAGAAGAGTTGTAATTAATGATGCCTTGTGCCTGGTAAATTCCAGCCACTCTACCTGCCTTTTGAAATGAAGGCAAAATCTGTTTATTCTTGGATTTAATTTGGGGGCATTGAATGTTTTATGTATAAGCTAGAAAAATCATAGTTACTGAGTACTTGGAAAAATATACTCTCTAAGTTATCTTTGTGCTTTTGCACTAATCATTAAATGTTGCTAGACATAGAGAGCATTTTAAACCTATTTCTTAGCAGGTAAACAAAAGTGGATTTTTTTTCAATAACGTAAAAATAAATATGGTTTTGTAGGTTGTCACACCTGTGTCTATGAGTCAAGTGTGGTCTATTATTATGATGCATTTAACCTCCATATGTTTTCCTGCCTAAAAAGTGCCCCATGTATCTTGTTTAAATAATATGTTTTATAATATTTGTGGCAAATGTTTATTAAAGGCACATTTTGCTACAGGCACTGTGGTAAGTACTTAACATTCTATATATTTACTCATTTAATTCTGACATATATAAGGTAGGTGCTGTTACTATAAGCATGAGTCTCTGACTCTTGGGCCCCAGTTTTTTTTTATTTATTTATTTATTTATTTATTTATTTATTTATTTATTTATATTTTACAGTGTGTTTTTATTTATTTTTTTAAATTTTTATTTTAAAAAATCTTTATTGTTGAAAGTCCTCCTTTGAACAATAAAGGAAAAAGGTCCTCCTTTCTCCCCATCAGCTTCTTCCAGCCTGCTCCTGCCTCTACCCCCCAGGCCCTCATGGAGCCCCAATTTTTAATCATTGCATCACACTGCCTCTAGAAGAACAAAAGATGCAACCAGTTGCAAATTTCCAAATGATTATCTTTAATCCATTTTTAGGTAATGGTTCCAGATAAGAATGTGAGATTCTGAAAAATTGTTCCACCCTACAGAATTCTCGATAGGGGTTTTAAGAATCACAATCTAAAAGGAGATAGATCTTAATAGTAAAAGTGTTGATGACCTATCTCTTTTTAAAAAACCTTACACTTACTTTGTTTATAGACATTTTGTATTATTTAAATGTACCTTCAAAGGCAGCCCATTGATTATTGTTTAATGTGGCCAGTTACCAAGGTCACATATATATTATCACAAAGGCGAGGCATGCATAATTATCCGAAGGCCTCCATAATTGTTGTCATTAGCTACTCTTAATTGTGACAGCTGTTTCAGAGGAAAAGAAATCATACTAGATTTTTCCTGGACATCTTAGTACATCTTTCCTTGAATATTACCACTCAGGTCTATTAGTATATGTTGTTAAACTAATTTAGTTGGTCACTGGCAGATAATATTATTGAATGGAAAATAAACAAAACCTCATAGTTATTGTTACAGTAGTTTTTTCTGTATAAGTATTGATAGGAGAGTGTTACTAGAGATGATTTTTCCAAGGTAGTATTTCAAATCATGGAGAGCATAAAATAATGAGGGGAATTTAAATGTCACTTTTTCTGATTTTATTCATTTCTACACAGTTAGATTATCTTGACAACAGTATTCTTTCTTTAAAAAAAGGAAAATCTGATACAAAAGTTGAATATGAAAATTATGTGGGAAGCAGAGAGAGGAATCACGATGGTGGCATAGGTAAATGCCTGTACTTGCTGCCTCCCACAACCACATCAAAATTACAAGTAAAATACAGAACAACTACCATCCAGAACCGTGGGAAAGCTGACTGAGTGGAAGTACTACAACTAGAGAGGTAAAGAAGAAAGCGCATTGAGACTGGTAGGAGGTGCGGCGGAACAGAATGGGCTGGTCCAGCACCCACGTGGGCCACTTTTCTAATCGGGAGGGAGATCACCTCTGCAGAGGCCACCAGGAGGAGCAAGGAGTCCCAGCCCCACAACAGACCCCCAGCCCAGGGTTCCAGAGCTGTGGAAAGAACTCCCTACAGGCAATAAGAACTACGGACTGTAAAAACAAGTGTGGATTGGGGCTGAGTAACACACAGACTGCTAGAGACTCAACTGCTCCTCTTAAAAGGCTGGCACCTCAAACTGAATTTATAAGCTCCTACTTGCTCTGAGATCCAGAGCTGGGCGAGGCTCTGAGGGACCCAGACAGGTACAGGGAGAAACTGGACTGTCTGGCATTGGTGGAGGAAAGCGGGGGTGGCTTTCTTCCAGATGGAGGTGCTCCCAGTGGTCATTGTTCCTGTGCTGGGACCTCCCCAGTGCAGGGCTGACTGGCAGACATTTCTGTTCGCTCTACCTTGGAGATTCCCTGAGACCCCGCCCCACCCAATCACCCAATTTACAACCTCACCCAAGCTGTGGGCAGCGGCTTTTGGCCCGTCCTTTCTCAGCCTAAAACCTGTCAAACAAGTTGCAGCTGGGTCAGGGAGCCCCAAAGCTGCTATCAATAAGCCCAAGGCTGGCATCAGCACCAGCCTGCCTTGCTTCACAGCTGGGCCTTGTCTGGACACTTCCAAATCCGATACAAAGAAGAGTAGCTCCTGCTGGGTGGCCCCAGGCAGTGGCTAACTTTGCAGCTCCTTGGAGATCCAAGAGCCAGTGTACCCAGTGGTTAGTGTGAGACCATACCAGATTACAACTCTTCACATCCGTAAGTGACCCACTCAAGGGGCAGACTCAGTGAGCACTAACGTCCCACTGAAGTAAGTCCTGTCCCATTAGGGGGGTGTTTCCACAGCAGCTCTCCCACTGTAATCGCAGCTGGCCCCCACAGCCAGTTAGCCTGGAGGTCGATTCCTCCCAGTGACACCAATAATAATCAAGGCTCAACTACAACAAGACTGTGCACACAGCCCACAAAGGGGTGCACCAAGAGTGTCCACCTCAGTGATTGGGGAGGCTGAGCCACTGGGCCCTATAGGACACCTATTACACAAGGCCACTCTATCAACTCAAGGAGACTTAGCACCTACCCAATACATAGAAACAAACACAAAATGCAGAGACAAAGAAACATGTCACAAATGAAAGAAATGGAAGAAAGCAAACTATTGGATAAAGAGTTCAAAACTACAGTTATAAGGTTACTCAAGAATCTTCTAGAAACCTCCAAGGAACTTAGTGAGACCTTCAAGGATCTTAGTGAGAAT